TTATACTTTTTTTCTAAAATAATATTATTTAGATAAATTAAAACTTTTACAATATTTCTAATATAAAAAACCCGCGGTGTTAAACTTATATAATTATTATATGTATTTTATTGTGTGTAAAGTGTTCTTGAGAAGAAAATAATATATTTTTAATTACCTGATTTCTAGTAATTGTGATATTGACATGTGATTGCCAAGGTGGTGTAAAGTGAGAATTGCATTTTGTTCTTATGTTAAATTATAAAAGCTGTAGCATGCAAATGTGTCAAAACAAACAAGAATTTGTATTTGTTATATTTTGTTAAAAGAACATTTTGGAGAAGTCGTTCAAATAATTAGAGCACTTTTGATGAAGAAAGGTTCAATGCCATTACGATTGCTGATTCGAAGTTCGCTTCCAAAAGGTAAGATGAAAATACTGGTCTTATTTGGAATTATATTATTAAGAGTGACTGAAGCTTTTAATAGTGCTTCAGCTCTTTGTTCTTAGTAATTTAGTTGCTTTGGAAGAGAGTTACCAAAAGTTTCATGCAATTCATTATACAGTTTTGTTTCCATCCAAATCATGTATAGTGTCACTTACAAATACAAACCACATTTATGTTTATCTACTTATAGCATGATCGCTGAAACCAGAAAGTGACACTTACTGGGCTTAGTAGTTACGAAGAATATCCATTTTTCTCTTTCTTAATGTAACATAAGTTATAATGCACCAAGTGGTAGTAAAGAACTGTCAGTAAAGAGTCAACAGACCATTGTTCTGACAGCCTTTATTTATTATTATATAAAAACTATTTATTTTATTAATAGAGTAGGCTATGGCTCTCATATATGTAAATCTCACCATAGATGTGAAGGTCCAGTATGGGGTAGTATGCTATATATAAATTAAAATTTAACTAAACTTTAATAAGTTGGGGTTATGGTAAGTAACCATATAGAAAGTGTATATGTAGTTACAAATACAGCTACGTTTTTAATATGGTAAGGTTAGTGTTTTATAGAGTAAACATTTAATAAAGCAATAAAATAAACGTCTTTCTCAAACAAACATTATTATAAGACATTTTAAATAACCTTGTATCTCCAATGGAAAGTAATTGAATTTATATTTTTACCTCATTTAATATGATTTATACAATTTATGTCCAGTTGACCGTTTTTTTTGTTTTTTTTTTAATATATATGATAGAATTTGTTTTACTCCATCACACTTTACTAAACCTTTTTAAGATCATAGCAAATTTATTAATTTTTAACCATAATCAGTGTCAGGTATATATATGAACTTTTAAAAAAAATGACCATTACATTGAAATACCAACCTGGAATATTTTTGAATTTGTGCATACTTTTACTTTTAGAAAACACTATTCTGTAATTTTGTCATATAATAAGAGTTATTGACAAGTGAGAAGTATGTGGCTTCTGCTCATTACCCCAACAGTAATGTGACAAATAAGAGGATACTAAGAATATTTTCATAATTTTACCCAGAAGAGCAGTGTAAAGTTTGGTTAGCAGCTGGTGTTTTAAGAAATGTTGTCAGGTGCTTTTTAAAAAGAAAAAGAGGAGGGTGATTGTAACTGTTTTAGTTGTAGTATAGAGGATTGATAAGATATTTTTGTTTGATAACCACTCGAAGATCTGCAATAAAGATTTAATACTTATGTAGTGTGTAAAAGATGTTTATAAAATTTGACAATATTAACAGAACTGAACATTTTGCAATTGTGTGTTTAAGAAAAAAAAAATAGTTATACTCTAATATAAAAAATACCTATAATTTATAAATAAAAAATGTCAGACTTAGCTGTGGATGTAGCCTAGCAATTGCACTGTTCGAATAGTATTTTTATTTAAAAAAATTATTCAACTAAATTGTTTTCAATTTTTTTTCCTAAGGTAGAATAAAATGAAATGGTTATTTCTTTTAAAAAGTATATGAACAGCAATAACTGGTTTCTTTTTTAAAAAGCTCAAAAATAGTTTTAAGGTAGTTAGGGATATCTTTCTGCAGGAATTTTTTCCCATGTCACTTCACTAAGAAGTAATTCCAGAACTAAATTGTTCCATTTGAAATGATTTAGTTTTTCTTCACAAGTTGAAAATAGCCCAGGGATTTACTCAAGACTGCTTATGTTCTTTGACGTATATACACAATGTTTTAGTGGGGGCTCTAGCCTTATTTAGCACAAGGTTTTGATAAGGCTCCATCTTTGTTTGAGACAGTATTAGTGGGACCTGACACAGCAGTAGACATAACCTTAATACTTGTCTCAACATTGTTCATCTCTGGCTTCT